TGCAAAGGCAGAAGAAAAAGAATTCGTACAATATACCTCAACGACCACTACCGAGCAATGCATTGAGTAAAGTCAGCTGGTCTAAGGAAACGGCACCGTCGCCACCTGAAGACGATACACCACGGCCTCCACGGAAGTTAAGTTGGGAGGAGATGAAGAAGAAGCGAAGCTTGGGGCTGTGTTTTAGTTGTGATGAGAAGTACATTCCCGGCCATAAGTGTAGAAATCCGCAAGTGTTTATCATGGAAGGAGAAGACGATGAGCATGTGGGAACGGAAGGAGAGGAAGAAGCTGTCGGAGAAAGTCCTGAGATTACTTCTTATGCACTCACGGGTTGGAACGCACCACAAACGCTACGTCTACGTGCTTTCGTGGGCAGAAAAGTGTTAACGGCCTTAGTTGACAGTGGGTCAACTCACAATTTTATTAGTGAGAAAACAGCTCATGAATTAAAGACTCGAATGACTCCGGTAAAACCATTCACGGTGAAGGTAGCTGACGGTAAGACATTAAAATGTCATGGGAAGTTCGATTTCGTCGTGATGCGGCTAGGAAAGGTGGACTTCACAATTACGGTGTACGCCTTACCCCTGGTAGGTCTTGATGTTGTTTTAGGCGTTCAATGGCTAAGGAGCTTAGGTCCTATTGTGTGTGACTGGACAGCCCAAACAATGGAATTTAAATGGGAGGGCCAAGTTCAAAGACTTGAAGGCATTCACTCACGTCTGGAGGAAGCTCAGTCGCGCGAGATGGAGAAGGAGGTGCGGCGCGGGGAATCGTTGTTTGCAGTCCAAGTTAACAACGCCACAGACCGAGCGGTCGCAATACCCGACACAATGCAGCCTCTAATACACAAGTATAGTGCTCTTTTTCAACCACCCACACGACTACCGCCTAATAGGACCATTGAACATCGGATTCCATTGAAAGATGGCGTTGACCCGGTGAATGTCCGACCATATCGTTACGCACATTTCCAAAAAGACGAAATCGAGAGACAAGTGTATGAGATGATGACTGCGGGTATCATTCGTCCAAGTTTCAGCCCCTTTTCATCCCCGGTCTTACTAGTTAAGAAGAAAGACGGTACTTGGCGGTTTTGTACCGACTACCGCGCACTAAATTTAGTAACAATCAAGGACCGGTTCCCTATTCCAACGGTTGACGATATGCTAGATGAGTTACATGGGGCTAGATTTTTTACAAAATTGGATCTCACGGCGGGTTATCATCAGGTTCGTATGCACGAGGAGGATATTCACAAGACAGCCTTTCGAACACACAACGGGCATTACGAGTACTTGGTCATGCCATTCGGGCTTTGTAACGCCCCGTCCACATTTCAAGCCTTGATGAACGACATTTTCCGGGAGCTTCTACGGAAATTTGTTTTGGTATTTTTCGATGACATACTTGTGTATAGCACGACATGGGAGGAGCATCTTCAACATGTGGAGCAGGTTTTTGCAGTTTTACAACAAAATCAGTTGGTGGTTAAGTTAAAAAAGTGTGAATTTGGGCAACGAGAGTTGGAGTATCTAGGCCATATCATCTCAGATGAGGGAGTAAAGGTGGATAGAGCAAAAGTTCAGGCTATGTTGGACTGGCCAGTACCCACTAATATTACAGAACTTCGAGGGTTTCTTGGTTTGACGGGTTACTATCGTAAGTTTTTTCGGGACTATGGCATTATCGCACGACCATTAACCAACTTATTGCGCAAAGGAGCGTTCGCTTGGAGTAGCGAGGCAGAGGAGGCGTTCAAGTCTTTAAAAAAGGCTCTTACAACGACACCGACATTAGCACTTCCTGACTTTACGGTTCCATTTGTAATACAAACGGATGCCTCGGGTGAGGGCATTGGAGCAGTGTTATCTCAAGGAGATAGGCCGATTGCTTTTATGAGTCGAGCTTTGGGTGTTACCAAACGTTCCTGGTCGACGTATGCACGAGAGATGCTGGCTATCATTGTGGCGATACGAACTTGGCGACCATATCTTTTGGGGCGGCACTTCATCATACAAACGGACCAGAGCAGTTTGCGTTATCTTTTAGAACAACGCATTTTAACTCCAGAGCAGCAGAAATGGGCCGGAAAATTAGTTGGCTATGATTATGAGATCACATACAAGCCCGGTAAGACTAACTTAGCAGCCGACGCATTATCCCGTGTGGTCGGTAGTCCCATACTCAATGCCGTTTTTGTGCAACAAACAAGCCTTTGGAATGATATCCGCGAACTAGCCAAGAATGACGATCCGCAGACGGACGGTCAAACTGAAGTAGTTAATCGGTGTATTGAACAATTTCTCCGGTGTTTTGTTCACAATAGACCCACGCAATGGAGTGCACTACTTCCTTGGGCTGAGTTTTGGTATAACACCACATTTCATGTGTCAACGGGAACAACTCCGTTTCATGCTCTCTATGGTCGGCCACCGCCCGTCATTCCTCGTTATGAGGTTGGTTCTTCTACTCTCGCGGAAGTTGATGAACAGTTAACCTCCCGGGACGAGTTATTGCTGGAGTTGAAACAACACCTACACCGTGCTAACAATAGGACCAAACAACATGCGGATTCAAAGCGTCGGGAGTTGGACTTGGAGTGTGGCAGCTGGGTTTATCTTCGGCTGAAGCCGTATCGCCAACAATCCGTCATTCGTCGTACGTCGCAGAAGTTGGCTCATCGTTACTTTGGTCCATTTCAAGTAGAGGCTAAAGTAGGCGCTGTGGCTTATCGTTTAAAGTTGCCGACAGGATCACGTATTCACCCCGTGTTTCATGTCTCACTCTTGAAGCCGCATATAGGATCCTCGACGCCGCAGGAAGGGCAGTTGCCTCCATTACGGGAGAATGGCTATCTCCATTTGCAGCCGGAGACGGTCATTCGTCGTCGCAAAGTTCAGACGGGAGGCAAGGTGGTTGTTGAGCTGCTGATCAAGTGGAAAGGTCTCAGTGACGAAGATGCCACTTGGGAGGAAGAGGAGCAAGTCAAGGCCAGTTTTCCAACCTTTGTTCCTAACCTTGAGGACAAGGTTGTTCTTCGGGAAGGGGGTATTGATGGGCCTATGATATCGGATCGGCCCGTCCGGACAAGAAGACCTAATCCACGTTACTTGGATTAGAAGCTAATGGTTTTAGTGTTTTATGTTTTCGGTTTTGATTTCAAGTTCTTTAGGATAATTATTCTTTAGGATTGGTGTTATCTCTTTTAATCATTCCTTATCCCCCTAGGACTCAATAGTTCTAGTTCTTGTAATGTTTTACTATATATATCAAAGAAAAGCCAAAAAGAGGTAGTCATAACTACCCATTAAAACAAAGCTTGTATTGTGTTCTTGAGAATCTCTAGATTGGGACCTATTAATGTATAATTTTCTGAACTAGTTCTTGACGTATCTAAACTTATACCTAATAAGTTGTAACCAATACGGTCCACATGTCGTTTAGGTTTACTAAATTGTTAGAACGGAACTTAAACAAACAGAAATGAACGTAGTACTCCCTAATCCGAGGAGTATCTAGCGAGTTAGCTCGATCGATAGGCCATGGAACTCATATGTTTCTCCGAGGAACAAACCGGGAATTTTTTCGAAGATTTCGAAATTTATCTTCCAACTAAACCAAAACCAATTTTGAAAATTAGTTTGATATAATTTGGGATTCTATTTATATCTATATCAGCCAACTGAAAAGAGGGGCTCCCATAAAAATGCAACTTAATTTAAATGGACTTTAATGGACCCATATACCAAATGTTCTTAGATGGAAACCGATCTTTACCACAATTTAGAAGGCTTGTCTTTAGCACAATATTGAGTAGGCCACTTTATTTGGGCTCAAAATGTTTAGTCTATGTATAAGATGATTGAAGATATTAATAGCTTTAGCACAATTTTTGTTTTTGGGGTTTAAGCTTCGTATACATATGGCGTGGAGCCATGCTATGCCCGTCAAATTGATTTTTCATGTAAACAAAAATAATTCTATCATCAACCACTATTATTTCAATTCTAAAAGTGTTTAGAATAATAATTGTTTTATTATTAAAATATAAGTAATTAATATTGAATTTATAGAAAATATAATAATAATATAGCTAAGTACTCCAACCACCAATTTCTAAGCTCCGTGGTTGTAACTTGAGAACCCTATATTTTGTATAACTATGTTAGATAATGAATTTTTAAAAATAAATACAGAGATATATACGAAGCATATGAGTATTTTACTTAAACATTTATTTAGTTGGTCAATCCATGAATAAAGTATAGTTAAATCCAACCGTATATAAGATTTATGTGTAAATGTTTTCTCCATCATAGCAATTTGATCATCATTCAAAATTTTTTGTCTGACTACATAGTTAGTCTTAAATACATATTTATAGTAATAAAGTTTCAAATTCCTTATTGTACATATTTATAGTAATAAAGTTTCAAATTCCTTATTGTGTTAGGAAAATATATACAGTATATCTTTTTGTTGTTGGAAGAAAAATTTCTTTTATGTAAATCTTATTATACTTAATATAAAAAGATTAAAATAATTTTATTTTAACAATTAATTTTAACACGTGTCAAAATCTTAGATCAATAACTTGGCACGTGTCATGATCTCGTTAATGACTAATATTAAAAAACATACTTAGTATAATAAGATTGTTAATATAGATATAAATATCTTGGGAGAAAAAAAACAAGAATCGTGGAAATTACTTGCAATCCTTATCAGATAACTAAAGAAAATTGATTCTTTAATTTAGAAATCTCCATATATATATGATACTTATTTGCTGCTCGTGAGGTTAAAGGAGGCTAAAAGAAACTGTCTTCATCAGAGAGGTAGAGAAAAGAGAGAGGTGTTCTTGTGGTGTTTCTTCTATCTCAAGAAACCTAAACCTAAAAAAGAACGTTTTTGAAAGTGATCTCGTGGCTTTTCGAGTGTCATAGCAAATCCAAACAACTGAAACTTATCCAATTCAATTTCAGCATATCATTATGGACTGTTCCTCGCAAAAGAGGCAACGAACAAAGGATAAAACTCTCTCAGCAACCCTGGATCCTGATTTTCTTGATTGCCCTATTTGTTTCGAACCGTTCACTACTCCTATCTTCCAGGTATGTCTCAAAAGCTTACATTGATTCATATAATACTTTTCTTGGGGTCATATGATTTATAAGGTTTTCTTATTTCAGTGTGATAATGGACATTTAGCTTGTGCTTCTTGCTGTCCCAAACTGAGTTACAAGTGTCCTTCATGTCGTTTTCATATTGGCCATAGTCGCTGTAGAGCAATGGAGACTGTTCTTGAATCCATCTTTGTCCCATGCCCAAACGCCAAGTTAGGTTGCACCAAGAATGTCTCATATGGGAAACTATCAACACATAAGAAGGAATGTGGCTTTTATCTTTGCATATGCCCTCTAGAAGATTGCAATTACACTGGCTTATACCATAACATGTGCAGTCACTTTATTGCTAACCATGGGAACAAATACATGTTGTTCCATTGTGACATCATCTCTAATGTTCAGATCAATATTAGCGATAAAATATTAGTTAGGATTGACTATGAGAAGAACCTTTTGTTTGTGGTGCAATGTTTTAGGGAGCCGTGTGGTGTGTATGTAACTGTGAGCTGCATTGCACCACCTAGTGGAGAAGTAGGAGAGTTCTCGTATCATCTTACGTATACTGTGGATGGGAACACTATGAGTTACGAATCATCGGAGGTGAAGAGAATTCTTAAACTGAGCTCTCAAAGACCTGAAGAGAACTTCATGTTGATCCCTCAGAGTTTATTGCGTGGTGACTCATTGACAATGAAGCTTTGCATCAAGAATTTGAAGCAATAGTGAAAAAAATGGTTTTTAATTTTTTTTTTTTCGTATGAACATAAAAAAGAATAAGATTCTTATTAGCTCTTTTGCAATAATTATGTTTATATGAGTGGATTCTCATGTCACATTGTCACAACTCTCATGCATTGTTTTGCCTAAGAATTAACGAAACATAGTTTATACGTACAATGTTTCCTTTCGATTACGAAACATATACTCAAGTCACAAGGCCATGTTCCTTGTTACTTATCTGTATTACCCGAGGGTGTGAAGATAAATAGTTCTAAATTAGAACTTCTAATGTCTAAAACTTTATGTATAATTTTCTCAACCACAAGTCTTGGCATATCCAAACGTATACCTTACAAGTTATAACCTATACGGTCCACATGCCGTTTAGGTTACTTTAAAAATCAAGACAGAAAAGAACGTAGTTCGAACTTGGGATGGGAATTTAACGGCATCCAGGGCCGAAGGAGAGCACGGCCATACCTCGAACTTACAAAGGAAACCAATAATACCGTAAGAAAAAAAAAATCTGAGGAGTATCCTGAAACTACTAGCGAGTTAATCGGTGGCTCCAATCTCGTATTTAGTTAATCTCCTTATTTAAGTCGATGTTGTTAGTTTAAATATTTTTCAGCAAAATTTTCAAAAGTTGTTGCACTAAAAACGTTTATTTTTTCTTTAAATATAATTTAACATTAAATTCAAAAAAAAAAATACTAGCGAGTAAGTTCGATCGATAGACAATAGAATTCATATATATGTTTCTGCAAGAACGAACCAGAATTTTTTTTCCGAAGATTTTGAAATGTATCTACCAACTAAACCAAAACCAATTTTGAAAATCGTGATGTACATGTATCTTGGGATTTAAGTTTTTTTTATACATCAGCAACTGAAAAGAGGGGATTGCATAAAAATGCAACATAATATTTTTTGTAAGTGGACTTTTATGGACCCATATCCCAAATGTTCTTGGATGGAAACAGATATTTACTAATAATGTAGAAGGCTTCTCTTCTTAAATTTAACATCGTTATTTGCTGACCAATACGGAGTAGGCCACTTGTTTGGGCTCAAATTAATATTTAGAGTAAAACAGATAAGTCTATGTATAAGAATATGATGAGTGATGAAATAGCTTTAGCACCATTTTTATTTTTGGACATTAAGCTTAGTATACATATGGCGTGGCAGCATGCTATGCCCATAAATGTTTTTTTTTTTTTGTAAATCAAAATAATACTGCCTCCGTTCTAAAATAGATGGTTTTTTGAACAAATATACACAAATTAAGAAATTATTTAAGTTTTGTTTATTTCTAAAAAAAAAACATCATTTAATATCTAATTTAACACAATTCAACCAATGCAAAAACAGTTTACATAATATAAATTGATATATACCATAAAACATTATTTAATTTTGCATAGATTTGGTAGAAAATTATCTATTTTTGAAAAAAAAACCTAAAAGATTCTCTATATAAGAACAAAGGAGTAATATCACTTTCCTCGAAACATACATTAATATTGGGGGTGCCGTAACGTCCTATTGTGCAGTCTCTTACAAATACCAAATCTGTTTAGGAGGAGGATTATCTTCAGTGCAATAGCTGCATACGAAAATATGTGACAGTCCATTGTTTTTTATAATGTAATTGAACCGCTTGAAATCGAGCAACTAATGGAGAAAGTGGTAAAGAATATTTTTGCGAGGAGAGTTGCATAGAGTTTAAACCGCTTGAAATATACTATAAAACGACGTCGTTGACTTTAATTTCTCCTTTAAGAATATTTTGTTTTTTTTATTGGTTACTTTAGTAAATCAGATTACTTTTGAGGTATGTGAATCTATTTCAGATCAATCAATTGGTCAGTGCACCAAAAATGTTCTAGAAAATAAGGGTCAATGACTATAGTTCTTTTATGTTGGTGTGACTAATACAAAAACAAAGATGTGTTGGAAGATATGGGTATAAGTAAAAAAATGGTAAAATAAAGCACTGTTTAGTATTTTCAGATTTATACCTATACTTGCAACTAAGATTGTATACCATTTTAAGAGTGTTTTGACCTCTATTGAAAGGATGTCAACACCAATGGTCAGTCAAGTGACTGAGAACCTTTTCATCAATTTTCAAATATGTTGTATACTTGTATTCATGTAAAATGCTATGTACTTCTTTGTCATTCCAGAATTTTCTTTTCATTATAGGACTTCAAATGACAATATAGGACTTTAAAATGAAAGAAGATTCACATGGACACTTAATACAACAAAACACAATAAAACTACCAATAAAATATAAAAAAAATAAATTAAAAACCTTAACAAACCCGTAAACATATATGGAGTGTGTAAATATGTGACATACTGTATAATAACATAACTGATAAATCAATGTTCGTGGATCTCATATTTACAATGCATTATAGTTTTAATGATTATGACAAAAAAAACTAATGTATATTCGATACTAATGAGAAACCTACTTTATTTCGCTTTGCATCAAGAAGTTGAAGCAATGGTAAAGAAAATACACTTTTATTTTTCTATTTTTTTTTTTAATGGTGTGCACATATTTAAATGATAGTTAAAAAGGCTCAAATTTGATGAGGTATTTGTAACTTATATATCAAGCAACAAATTTAATGAATGACAAAATACTTATTTTCCAATATACTCATATGTTATGTATTTTTAAGAATTTTTCCCATGATTCAACTCTGATGCAAAGTAGCCACTTGTACCTAAAATAGTGTGAGAATTAACTGGCTATGAAAGAATATAAGAATATGATTGTTAGCTCTTTTGCTTTAATCTAGGTGTAACTTGAACTTGTAAAATCTCGGCATCACACTTAAGTGATTTTAATCAATATTTAGGCATCACACTTACGTTAAAAAAAAAAAAATCAATATTTCAGATATTCCAAATCAAATAATAACTATCCAGAACTGTAATTCTAAAATATCCCAATACATCATAAAGTTTTCTACCGGAAATATCTAAAATCAAAAATCTATCCAGAACTGAATCGAATATCCGAACGTCCGGTCCTAGTAGATGCATCATATACGTACGTACAATCTCATCTCCTAGTTAAACTACTCGTGCACCACTAATAAAAACACTAGATCATCAAGGCAAACTATGATATGTGGAGTTTGAAACGTCCACATCGAAATTGGTTTGGATAAAGTTTTGAGAATGCTAAGGTTTTATAGATTTGACTGTTCATCTCTTGAAGAGTCTTTTCTTTGTTAACCATAAAAAAAAACAAGCCATCTGATCCGTAAGGACGACAAGGACACTCCAAAACTCCTATATGTATTCAATTTTTTTCTTCTTTTGTTAAGATCATCTATTTACATAAATATTAAAAAGACAAAATTATATACAATGTGTCCTACACACTGAGAGTGATATTTATTTCATTCTTTATAAAAGAATTATTACGATTGTTTTTTTTTTCTTTTGTTTTTGTAAATAAGAAAATAATTATTAGATTGTACAAATTGTACTATTGTGATTATGAATGCAATATATAACTACATAGATAGTAGCTGTTTGATGTTTTGTGTCTAAAATTTTGTACTAATGATGTTAAAAACAATATTTTCAAATTCAAAAATTTGGAATCATCTATATTCAAATATTATTTTCTTAATTTTCTAATAATCTATTTTGTTTTCATTGAAGAAATATTTGAAGGAAAATAGTTTAATTTCTCTATTCTCTCATTCTCTTTAGTATAATAAATGATTGTATATCAATTACTACTAATATATAATATTCAAGTTTTAACAAGTGTTCACATTTATTAACCATTAGCAAAGTATAGTATATTTCAAAATTATTGTTTGTTTCACTAACTATATAAGGGTCTTAATGATTGAAGTGGTTAAGGTGGAAAAATTCCTCTGCAAGCTAGATCGCTTTATATCTACCACTCATAAATTATGTTCGTTTTGATGCATAGGCAATACAAATAAAAGAAAAATGCTACGGACCATTCACAAATCGTTTTTACTTACAAATAATATTGGTGTGCAACGAATTGTTATCCGTCCTAAAAATAAAGTAGAATAAATAGTTAACAGATTTGTCCATTTTGACTGTAGTAACCATTCACACTCTAACTATATAACATTAGTTTAGTTTGGTAAAAGAAAATTATTAACATTATTTTGATATTTCCTTTAATATATTCTGAGGATAAAGAAAAATACAAAAATGGATATGGTTGTCATAATAGTAATACCCAAAAAACGATATTTCCTATAAGAGAAGGATGTGACAAAATAAATAAAAAATCAAACAAAGTGGATCTGGTTAGGTGGTCAGCATCTTTTACAGAATTAGGATATTAGTACAATAAATATTTATCTTGTGGACCTATACGAGTTCCCCACCGATGACAAAAAAAAAAAAATACGAGTTCCCCACCCTCAAAGTGCATGTGAAGTGACCACTTCTCTGCGTTATGATCCCAACTAATCAATTGTCATAATCATAGTAGTAAATACGAAATTCTTCTATTAAAAATCTTTTAATTGGGTCGGGTTTAGACTTTGCAACGATTCCGCAGAAAAATCAAAAAATTTACCGGAAAAAATAGAACCCTGTTAATTATCAAAGTAGAGAGTCCAAAACATTAATCTCGCGGATACAAAATCTTTTGCTTTGTGACACGGTGAAATTATCGAAAAAAAAAAAATAGGAAAACCTATTTCCGTCTACGCTCCCAATCCGTTATAAATCTCTCAAAAAGGCGTAATTCTTCGACATCTAGTTCAACGGTGTTAAGTCCCAATCTAGTAACTCTATACACTTGTATATAAACCTAACCGATTATTGTAGTTTTCAAAATTATAGTGTCGATTCGTGTTTTTTTTTTAAACTACCAATAGATTATATAATGTCAGAAATCCGATATTCTGATTTTGAAGCCATAATAATATGCTGAATTTTGAAGAGAAATTATACTAACCAAATAGGTAGAGTTTAATAATAATTACATTTCCAAGTTAAGTTTTTGTAATCAATGAGGTTTGAAACTTAAATTAAATATCGTTGAATTTTGTTTGTCACTTGATCTCCTTCTAGAATAAGTGGCGGCTATGTGACTATATGTCTATAACGGAAAAAAATAAAAGACAGGGACCAAAATGTAACAAATATTAATTAAGGGGTCAAAATAATAATGTCATCGAACTTTTAAATAGCATAAATACAACCTCCCAAGACCCAAAGCTTTTTTTCACCTACTCCATCACTCTCCACCAGCTCTCTCCTTCTCCGGCTTGATCTACTACTCTCCGACGATCGGAAAAAAAATCCAATCTGATCGATCAAATCGGAAACCGAAAGCAAAAAAGAAACTATGGCGTTTGAGAAGATCAAGGTGACAAACCCCATCGTCGAGATGGATGGTGAGATCTCCTTCTCCCGATCTCTCTCTCCCTCTCTCGCTCTCTATACTCAGATCTTTTCGTTTGATTTGATGCGAAATGAAACGTATTGTGTTACCTTTGGTCGCTTGCTTAGTTTATATCGAAGTTTCGTTGCCTCGTTCTGATCTGATTACTTGGAACCATACGCATGTGTAAAGCTCGTTGCTCGATTTGGTTTTGAGTTTGTGATTTACTCGAGTTTTGATTTGATGATCTTGTTCTGAAGTGTGTATTACTTTGTAGATCGGTAAAACCTTGAGCTCTGTTAGTCAGATTGATTGATTAAGCATATAGGATTGTTTTCAGTGTGGATTTGGTCATATGTTGAAGAAGTATTTGATTTACAGCTTCGAAATGGCGAAATCGTTTCAATATATGAAGTTTTTGGTGTTTTTATAACTCATAGTTATGCTTCGTTGGTTTGTGTTGATGTAGGTGATGAAATGACCAGGGTTATCTGGAAGTCTATCAAGGATAAGGTATAAGAATAACATATTTTGATGCGTATTTTAATGTGTGCGGTTCATGTTTTGCATATATTGAGTTTCGTTTGCTTGAATGTTTTTCAGCTTATTACTCCTTTTGTTGAGTTGGATATCAAGTACTTCGACCTTGGTCTTCCTCACCGTGATGCCACAGATGACAAAGTTACTATTGAAAGTGCTGAAGCCACTAAGAAGTATGTGTGTTCGAGCTTCAATCCTTACTAGAATGATATTGCATCTCTGTTGTACTGTGTACGTAGCATTTTGTTAATTTTCGCCGTTTGTAATTTTGTTTTGTTTTAGGTACAATGTGGCAATCAAGTGTGCCACCATTACTCCAGGTATGTCTTGATAGCTGTTTGCAAGTTGAATACTTTTTCACAAGTGTTTTCATTTTACTAAGTATTGGTCTTTTCCACTGCAGATGAAGGCCGTGTCACTGAATTTGGCTTGAAGCAGATGTGGAGAAGTCCAAATGGGACCATCAGGAATATTCTGAATGGTAAGAAATTGCGAAATTGTATGTTTAAAGCTCATCCAATATCATTCTCTGTTTTCTTACAGTGTGTTTGTCTCTTACAGGAACTGTATTTAGAGAACCAATTATATGCAAAAATGTTCCCAAGCTTGTCCCAGGTAATTATTGACAACAAACTAGTTGCATTAGAGGTTTTATTGACAAAGAGTTCTGAGAATATGTCTTGTTTTCTCCAGGCTGGACAAAGCCCATTTGCATTGGAAGACATGCTTTTGGTGATCAGTATCGTGCCACTGATGCTGTAATCAAGGGACCAGGAAAACTGACTATGACCTTTGGTAAACTTACGACCTTTCATTAGTCATTTTTATTTGGGACTGGCATTGCATAATTTTGCAATCTCTTTCTATTTCAACTTTCCAATTTATCTAGTACTAATAAATTCTGTAATGTCGTTGATTTTTCAGAGGGAAAAGACGGTAAAACTGAAACCGAAGTCTTTACATTTACCGGTGAAGGTGGTGTTTCTATGGCTATGTACAACACTGATGAGGTATAGTTTTAACTTACCCTTTCTTTCAACTAGAGTCCAAATTACTTACTCTTTTAAAGATTGTCATCCAAGACGAGTTATGTATTTCTCTTGTAATACAGTCCATCCGTGCTTTTGCTGATGCATCAATGAACACTGCTTATGAGAAAAAATGGCCGCTTTATCTTAGCACAAAGAACACCATTCTTAAGAAATACGATGGCAGGTATGTGACAGTTACTCTTCATTATTTGATCATATAGTTCTTTCACTTATGGTTGTTGAGACTTTCACTGTCAATATTTAATGTTGGTTACATATTTGTTTTACTATAAAGATTCAAAGACATCTTCCAAGAAGTCTATGAAGCCAGCTGGAAGTCAAAGTATGAGGCTGCTGGAATATGGTGAGTTGACTCTTAGTTATCTCTTCCTATAAATATCATAGTGCCTTGCGTTACGCTTTACTGAGAATGATCAAATTGATTAGGTATGAACACCGTCTCATTGATGACATGGTGGCCTACGCTCTTAAGAGCGAGGGAGGCTATGTATGGGCATGCAAAAACTATGATGGTGATGTCCAAAGTGATTTCTTGGCACAAGGTTTGTGTAAATCATAAATGAATATGCCCAGAAAGTACTTATGTCTGTCTTACATATTATTCTGTTTGTTCGTTGGACTCACATTGTTCATGTACCTAATTGTTTCTTATAATGTGTTTCAGGGTTCGGATCACTTGGATTGATGACATCCGTTCTGGTAATTATCACAACTTCTCTGCTATAATGTCACACAGTCTCTTTATGCTATTTCATGTTTCTAAGTTTCTGCTTTTGGATGTATATTTTGATTAGGTCTGCCCTGATGGGAAGACAATTGAAGCTGAAGCAGCTCACGGAACGGTCACCCGTCACTACAGAGTTCACCAGAAAGGTGGTGAGACCAGCACAAACAGCATTGCCTCCATCTTTGCTTGGACTCGTGGACTTGCACACAGGTAACAAAAAACTAAAACAAAACTCCTAATATTGTTTGATTAAAAAGTATATGATTATATATATAAGCCAATGTCTTTGAAACAGGGCTAAGTTAGATGACAATGCAAAACTCTTGGAGTTTACCGAGAAGCTCGAAGCCGCTTGTGTCGGGACAGTAGAGTCAGGAAAAATGACCAAAGATCTTGCACTCATCATTCACGGCTCGAAGTAATTAATTCAACGATTCTTTGTCGACCTTCCGTTCCATGTTCTAATCAAAGATTGCTTACATTTATTGTTTTTTTTTCTCAGGCTCTCGAGGGACACATACTTAAACACTGAGGAGTTCATCGATGCAGTCGCTGCTGAGCTCAAAACAAGACTCGGCGCCTAAGAAACTGAAGAAACCGAAGAAATTTGGTAAAATTCGAACGTTTTAGCTCCTCAAGTCTCTTATATGGTTGGTGAGTGTTGGTTTGGGATCGGGTGGAATAAAACTATATAACTTTGGTTGAGAGGAATGTTGAGAACGACTTGTTTCCTCTCTTTCTTATAACATTTCCAAAATATTGCGACATTTTTCCATTTTTATTCAGATCTCGAATTTTTATGTTTGGTTAAGTTATCACATCCTTCAATTTTTTCTTTTATCGTCGTTATAATCGATTTAGGGGTTTTAGTTTAAAATCCACGTAAGCGTTTTACTAGTTACAATCCATACAAAATCGAACTGCAAGTGGTAATTAACATAGTTATGACAATAAACAAAAACAAAAACTAAAACTAAAAAACAAAACAAAACAAAACAAAAATTTCTGCTCACAAATTTTCGAGCTTTGTTCCGAATCGGTGTTTCTTTGTGGATCTCTGCTTATAGTGTTTCACTTGTTTTTCTCCCTGTTTTATGTTTGTGTTGTGTTGTATCTTTGGTGGTTTATGTAGTTTTTGGTTTTTCCGTTTAGTGTTTTCTCTGTAATTCTGTCAAACTTTTCAAAAATGGTATAAATTTTCACATTGTTACCAAAAGAAAAAAAAAAAACAAAAACAAAAACTTAAACGTTATATTTTGTTGGGTAAGTAAAGATAATTCGTAGTCGAGTTAGAGTTATTACGCAAAAGTTGGATAAAATACAAAAGATTTGGGCATATGTTCCAACGAGACCAATAGTATTATATATATCAAACACACACATTTTATTTATTATGGTACATATATATATGAACTATACGTTACTATAACAAAATGAAAACAAACATATATTGTCTTGTACAAGTCATGTGATCATAACTTGGGTGGAATGAAACAAGACTTATTGAACGAAAACACACACACACACACACACACACACACACACACAATTAATACGTATAGCAGCAAAGAGAGATTTTGATGGATTAGCATGGGTAGTAACAGTAACACATGTGAGCTGGGAAGACATAGTTGCAAGACCCATGTTGTGCGCCTTCAAGTCTAATGCACTGACTCTTGCATGCATCGTTACTTCCACATACTCCTGACCATGTTCCACTTGGCTTCTCGCACCACTTTTGTGCCTCCACCATCATCGTTGGTGCTTCTGCATTCATGGTTAATCATCAAATTATAAAGGAAACATATGAAATCTAGCTAAAACATGTATAATGAGATAGATCATGACTTACCAAAAACAGCAAACAGAACAAGGGCAGCGAATACAAAGGTGATGATGATAGTTGAAAACTTAGCCATGACTACTATAATAACTGGTTACTCTTGTCTTCAATGGATGTGTTTGTGTACTTGTATGTTTAGGAAATATGTCTAAGATAAACCTCTATTTATAGGAGTTTGTGTCTTACTTGTAACGTAGTAACCTAGCTAATTAAACACATCGTCTACTAATTTACACGCAATTACCAAATAATGAAATATAAAACCTAGACCAAGTAAAACAGTTACACGTTAACTATTTGATCTTCTAATTTTCACTTTAATACGGATTATCATGTTGTGCTTAAAAAATTCAAATAAAAATTACAAACTAGAACCATGTGTTTTAAAAATAAAATAGAAAGAACTCGAAGAGCCAATACTTAGAGCTGCTTCGAGACGCCTCCTAAATCTTCCTCACAATAACTATATTATAATGGAATTATGACTTAAACAATATAAAGTAAACGTGAGTGTTACTGTCACCTAGATCATGAAAACTAAAATCCCTACAAGTGTTCTAATGGTTTTTATTTGATAAGGAGTTGTCATGTTAATTTAGGGTTTAGGGATCGATTCTCTTGAGATAAAAAAAAATTACTAAATCATTTTATTTGGTGAGTCCAAATGATTTTATGCTTTAGGTTGATTAGAACATCTACTGAGTAGGCATATATATATAGTGGTCGTGCTGCTACCATAGAAACATATGCGCAAATCATTTGTCATTTGTCCAACTTTTGCGTAATGATCTCCGACGACTCGACTACGAATTATCTATTTAACCAACGAATTACAACGTAAGAGATTTTGTTTTGTTTGTCGTAACTATGTTTTACCTATTTACTAAACTAAAACGAAGAATCGATCTCACATGACACATGGGGAGTTTGTGATCGATGTTTTGGAGTTTTACCATTGACGGCTTAGTCTCAGACCTCCTGCGAAAGGTTTCCATAGCTAATCACTAGTTTAAGGTGTCTTACAATTTGCTTTTGCCTTTCTCCTTCTGCAACTCATCCGGGAAAGAAATCATAAATATCATCGTTTCATTTTGTTCCCAAAGCTTCTTAGCTTGGTTGAGTAGATGGACCAAAAATTTGGTTTAATTACCATCTTATGCTTTAATGTTTTTATTCTTTTTTTGTCATAAAACCATATGTATACAATTCAATTTCTTAGATTGTAACGTAAACCATTTTCATTAATAATGAAATATTTACAATTTAGCCCCAAAAAAAAAAGAAACCAACATTTGGATCAATATTGTCTAGTTACTACAAATAGCTCAAGAGATGTTTTGCAAATATCTTGAAAACATAATTTGTCGGTATAAGTGGTTTAGTCAACCCTTATTTGAACTTGTCGTAATATGTACAAGTACTTAACCGATTACGTAAACAATAAAAAAGTACAATAAATCAACTTCATTATGACTAGTACAATAAATAAACTTCATTATGACTAGTACAATAAATAAAATTGTTAAACATAATGAAATTTGACAATTGCGTATTAGTCATAAACTCATAATGAAGTTTCTCAATTTTACTAGTCATAATGAAGATAACAATTTTATTTATTGTATTAGTACTTTTTTTATTGTTTACGTAATCGGTCAAGTACTTGTACATATTACGACAAGTTCAAATAAGTAATCGGTCAAGTACTTGTACATATTACGACAAGTTCAAATAAGGGTTGACTAAACCACTTATACCGACAAATTATGTTTTCAAGTTTATATATTTACCATAATAAATAAAATTTGTGTGTTTGATATATAACTATTGGTCCTGCTGTTCCATTGGAATATATATAGGGAAAAATGTCATAAAAATCCCGAACTTTCAAATTTGGGACGATTTAATCCTGAACTTCAAAGAAGTCATTTTAATCACAAAGTTTTGTTGGCTTTTCCGTAAAATCGCTAAGTTTTGCGCAAATCTTTTGTATTTTATCCAACTTTTGCGTAATGAATTCCGACTCGACTGCAAATTGTCTAGTTTTTTTTTTTTTTTATAAACTCTATCGACTGATCCGGTCAACTCCGGTAGAAACACACCGAAGTGCTTTAAAGTGGACTTCTTCCCGAAGGACCATTACACTGTCTATTCCGAGTTTGGAATGCTTTCCGGCTAATGCCAGGGGGTAGTCAGGCCGCCTGCAGGTCCAGTTGACAGACTTCCCACACAACCATGATTTTTGTTTCCAGGCTGGATCGAACCTGGGTTAGTTCCTTTCAACCTTTCCCCAATTCACCCTTACCACTGGACCACGGCTGTGCGGGCTCAAATTGTCTAGTTAACCAACAAAATATAACGTATGTAAGGCCATCATTATTGATGGTTAAGCATTCTTAGGCTTCGAATGGAGAAAGCGTATCAAGCAGTGCAGATCAAGCGGTTCAAGCAGATCAAGCAGAACAAAAGCAGATCAAGCAGATTTGGCGGTACAAGTGCAGATCAAGTGGTTTGACCGCTACAAAGTATAAATTAAATGGTGAAAACCAATCAAATAGGTGTAGATTTTTTTTTTTTGTCAACAATAACTATAGAAAAATAGGTGTAGATTAAAAATATTGATTTTATTGAATTTTTTAATAATGATGAGAAATTACTTTATTTTGAATTTTGTATTGTAAATTTGTAAACATTTAATGTTATTAATTTAAGAGAATTTTTGAGATGGGTTAAATTAAAACTAATATTTACAACATATAATATAATAACATTATGTTACAACATACGTGGTGTATAATAATCATGAAAATAAAATTAATAAGTACAATATTTGTGATGCATTAAATTAGTAAACTATGATAAATAAATAAAAAAATCTTTAAAGAAATATTTATAAGAAAACTTAGAATAGTGGACCAAAAAAATATAGTTAAACTAACAATTGTAAGAAAACTTTGAATTATTTATCATGAAAACTTTGTGATTTAAACAGTATATATTAATTTTATGAATTTAAGTTGTTTTATTTGAATTTTTAACAAATAATTTTTAGAGTGGTATATTAAATATATATATATACGTATATATATATATTTATGTGTTTATTATTACAGCATTATTTATTTAATAAAATATTAAATAAAAAGGCAGTTCAGACATGATACGCATCAAAAATGAAGTGTTAGCAGATCATTACTTTTCCTTTGTAATTATGATCTGCCTGCAGATCATATTTAGTTTTTATTTAATTTTTAAAAAAATTCGTTTAAATATAACATAGTGGTGAATGGTGAAAAAAAAACAGTTCACCCGTTTTGCGTACCATCTGCTTTTAATCTGCTACGCCATTCAAAGCCTTAATTAAGGTCCTGTTCTTTGGTAAGCTTGACGCATTATCTGAATACAGTATCAAGAAGCAGGATCTAAACGCAGTATCTAAATAATATTTGTTTCTGTTTTTGGTTCATGCCTCTAAAAATTATACATATATGGAAAAAAAAAAAAAAAAAAAATTCATACTTAGGGTGAGAACTTCTTGGTTCTGATATATTGTGATACAATCAATTGCCAAAGAATGAAGTTACTGCATCATAGTATGTTTCATACGCTGCATGTAACCCGCTTTACACTATTTGTGATACCGTTGATGAGTTGCCCATAGAAACCGTAGATGGTATGTTTTAGCTTCTTCATTCTTTGAAAGAGTTCCATTACTTCTGAAACAACAACAAAAAAAGAAAAAGTTTGAAAGTTTTACACAAAAGAGTTTTGAGTATAGTTTCATCGTTTTAGATAGTAGTTTCCTTACCCAGAATAAGACGTAACCGGAGGTAACTCATTAACATTACAGATCTGGAGATCATCGACTTCTCAACAAAATCTGGAAAATGCGAAACCAAAAAAAATCTATGTTATCCACCAATTAATTATCCAAGATCTAACTTCATATTGCAATTCTAAATCCAGTTACCTGATTCAGAAGGAGGTTTGTAGTCAAGTCCATAGACTGCATATTTGGCGTAAGCAAGTAGTCTCGTCCGTTTTGGGGCGCCTAACTTCAAAGTGATTGATCGCACGAGTCCGCTGTGATAGAGTATACCAAGAAATTAAGTTTACAAGGATAAACTCTTTCAAGATTTAATAAATAGTAAAACCAAAGATGAGGATTGTACTCTGTTCGCAGTACGGATAGAAAATCAGGTGGGAGAGACCCCATGAAAGTTGTTATGTCTTCCAATCTCAAAAGCTTCACTTCCTGTTTTAGTTTTTGCCTCTCTTGTATAGACATTCCTTTTCCTAGTCCTGATTTGCTATTACCAACAAGAGGCAGGGACAAGCATAAGTCTTGTTTGCATGTAAACGGAAAAATAAATGGCATCGTTGTCTCTACGGTCTTATTTCATACTCTATCTCTGGGATAAACAAAGTCTAGTCTACGATTTCAGTTTAACTACAAAACAATGGTGGAGCAAAAATACACACATATACCTTTCACTAGTTCTTCCGGTGAATATAACAGGGAAGAACTTGGCATATTTTCCAACTCCAAACTGTTTCCCTAATTCCTGTATCTTATTCGAGTCTAGAAGAATCAGAGCCTCCCACAATCGACAAAAGTCCCGCCTAAATCCTTCATCTAATGTTTTGCAGTTCCCATGGTCTAGCAGAACTTTTCATCCGACCGCAAAATTTAAAGAAGAAGATTAAACGATCTATCGTGAGAATATGGAACCAGTGAGAGGCCGAATTGAATTACGAACATAAAAGTACCTAGAGAAAAGCCATTATGGCCTCCAGGAGAAACTAGAATATTTCCAGGATGTGGATCACCATGTATAAATCCGTGCACAAATATCATTTCAGCAAACACTTCAACCAACACTTTAGCAACCTATAGGAATATGAGAAAGAATTTAATGCCTCAGAAATGAAACCAGAAACATATATTTGGGAGCTCGAATGCTAAGTGTATATTTGTCAGGCCACATACCAAAGCCGTATATCTTAACTTATGCCTAAGAAGTAGTTACCAACCTTTTCTGGACTTAAATTATTGCTTTTGAGGGATTCTACATCGTCAACCTGAAACCTAAGGAAATTGGAGTTGGTTGAACATACAAGAATTAAAG